ACCCCACCCCCCCCCCACCCCCCCCACCCCCCCCCCCCCCCCCCCCCCCCCCCCCCCCCCCCCCCCCCCCCCGCCCCCCCCCCCCCCCCCCCCAGGCGGACAAAACACACATACCATGAGGATAACGTTTGCATTGGGGTATTTCCCATGGACCCCTTGGACCAATTTGGTGTAAGCATCGACATAGCTCTCAGTTGAAACATTATTGGCCTCATTTTGGTCATTCGTGCCAATGTTGATCACCACAATATCTGGCGGAGTATGTCGAGAGAAGTCCCAAGGCTCGGGGTTGTCTAGTAAAATGCCAAATGTCTTAGTTAATGTGCTCAGAATTGCTCCAGCGGCATGATTTTGCAAGAAGCAATACTCTGGACTTGCCGAAAGGATAAACAGGGACCTACCTCCCCAAATATCCATCGCCTGGGAGCGGGTGTCGGAGGTGTAGAACCACTGATGGACCTGCCCCCGGGGATTTCCCCAGCAGTCCTGGTCCGCGGCGCAGATGCCTGGGTACCCAATTATATCATACTCGGTGTTTCCTAACCCGGCACCGAGCCCATACGCGAAGCTAGACAGCGACTCGTATGTGTTCCCATATCCCGCAGAGAGGCTGTCTCCGATGACCTCTACTCTTCTGGGGTGGTCGGGTACTTGAATCAACTTTTCCCCGTGGGCGACGTGGACCTTGTCGATTTGCACACCGTATCCCCAATTGCTTACCCGCAGTTCCAAGGTCGAGGGATTTACCGGGTCGGTGAGATTCGCTCCTGGAGTCTCCGGGCTGACAAGGAGATGTGTTGCGCCTTTCGTGATGTTGGTGAATTGCCAGTCAAGTCCACTGATCCTGTATCCAACGAGGACACCCTGATCCGTCAGATTTCCGAATGAGATGGCCACCGTCTGTCCAGTGTAGCCAAAGACCAGTCCCGCGGCGCTGTTGTGGTTGAGATTAGCCACTGTAAGTGGGTGCGCACACTTTACGCCTCGCAAGGAATCGCCTTCAAAGGATACTTACGACCACCAGGAGTAGTGCTTCGAATCCCACCGTCCCTTGTAGGAGAGTTCGGAAGCGTTGGCGGGATATGTGGCAAACGAGTAGTTAGATGGCTGGATTTTTGTGTTGGGAAAATCCACCATTCTTGGCTGCCCATTCTGAAGGATTGTCCCTGCCGCCAAGGAGAGGAATGCGAGGCCAAGTCTAAGTGAGATGCCAGCCATTTTTCTCACTCTCTATGCCCCCGAGCGATGAAGAGAGAGAATATACGTAGGTAAAGGGTGATGGAAGACAATAGAGCGCAGTAATCCGCATCGACTTTATTAAAACCTTGCCCAAGCTATGAACGCGACATTAGGCTGACAAGAGAATATCCATGGTGCTACTTCAATATATTCTGGAAACCATAATAGACTAATAAGACGCCTTAGCATAAGCGAGGGCCATCTCGGCCGTGGGAAGCAAGAAAAAGGAAGGGAAGTTGAACGCGGATATAATTATATTGCCTGTGAACCGCAGTGCCCTCCTGCGAGAGTGAAATGGTAGCTCGGAAAGGCCACCTCCGCTCTGGTTTAGGTAACGAACGCGTCTCTTCTAAATCTTGCGATGGTCTTGTTCCCAGGGCTTGGAATTATGGCCATAGTAATTACCAGCGGAAACAAGGTTTGACAAACCGTGTTAAAATATCCTGACGACTATAAACCGGTCGCCAGCCATCATGAGTGGTCCTCCTTACCCAAGTATATTCCCAGTAACCAACTAATTACTGTGTACTGCGGTAGCGTGGGAACTGTGGATCGGCGGCTTGTGGTTGGATCGCATCCAAGATCTCTGTGCACCGAAGTTTGCAATCAGCGATTTAGCACCTGAGAGAGCAGTATTTAACCGTCAGTTCCTCCCGCACAACTGCCTCATCTGGTAACACAAAAAACCCTGGTACAGATTTCTCGCAACCTGGATGAGTTTCTCATAGGGGGCGGCAGCAAAAAAAAAAAAAAAAAAAAAAAAAAAAGCGGGGCCGGGAAAGAGACAGCTAACATCTATCGTTGGCTTCCACTGCCTGCTGAGCGCGGGATTAGCGTCTGACAATCTTTATCTGCAAGATCCTTTGACAGTTCCTGATATGCCCAGCGGCTGCTGCAGACTCGGCAGTTTTCCTTGATAACTCATGTCGTGTCTGATAGCGATAACAAGTAATTACAGTGTAAGATAATTACAAATTGCAGGCTCGTATCTATCAGCAACCATCTGCTAATCATTCCACCTGATAAGCGATAACAGAACTCCCTACCAATGTGGCGGCTGGCGTCGGCTGGAGAGTGACACAATCTGAGGAGATAAGGTTCACCTGAAAACCCCCTCTTCCATCTCGTGCTAGAAAAGAATAAATAAACTGGTACCCTCTCTAGTTTTGTCACAACCTGGCACCTCCCTTCCAAGCACCTTTGATCTAAGAAGACACACCTCGGGTCTACTCCTAAGAACACCTCCATGGCTTCCGAGGCGGTTATCAAACCCATCGTCCATCCTGAGGGATCAGGCATTGACTTCGGAGCCGTTGTCTCCAACGTTGATATCGAAAACCTTACTGGTAAGATACCATGCAACCCACGAGGTGACTTTTCGTTGGCAATGACGCCCTGAAAGCACTGGGAGAATACCCGTGAAATCGGTAACCTCCTATGGTAAGTAAGACAAGACAACTCGTCTCGGCCAGCGCGACATATCGACTGACGCCTCTCAGATGCCGACTTTGACGCTATTCATGACGCGCTTTTCGAGCACCAGGTTCTGGTCTTCAAGAACCAGAGTCACGTCTCTCCCAGAGCACAGTATGAGATGACGCAGAAGTTCGACCCCGCGGCCACAGGCTCGTACGGACATGGCAAAACTCTAGACGCGAAACGCTCCGTCCTGCACCCCGACTTGAAGACCATCCCGCACCAGCCACAAGTTCAAGTCATCGGCAACGGCTTCGTCGAGGAGTATGAAGGCCTGAAGAACATTCACCTTCGCCACCCCCATCACCGCAGCTTCCATGCCACCGCTATTCCTGCTGAAGACGATCTGGATTTCACACGGTTCTACAGATGGCATATCGACGCTGCTCTGTACGGTCTCGCGCCTCCCATCGTGACGTCCCTTCTCGCAGTGCGCGTCCCCGGCGGCCGTACTCAGACGGTTCGCTACGACGACGATACTGGTGATGAACTGACGGTCCCTCTGGGCACCACGGCTTTTGTATCTGGCTACGCCATGTACGACCTTCTCTCTCCTCAAGAACAAGAGTTCGTCCGCACGACCAGGGTCGAGTACGCCCCGCATCCGTACGTGTGGATGAGTGGCGCGAAGTCCCGCTCTGACGGCCTCGGCATGCTTTCGGAGGACAGGGAGATACCGTTGACGGACTTGCCGCCCATCGAGGAGGCCAAGATCCAGATCCTGCCCATGTGCTGGCGCAACCCGTGCACCAGCCGCCTTGCTTTGCAGGTTCATCCGTCCGCTGTACGGAAGCTGCACTTGGCAGATGGCACTGTGGTTGAGGACCTTGCCACGGTTCGTGACATAGTCTACCGCCTCCAGCGACCAGGTATCGCTCCTAAGATGGTGTACGCGCACGATTGGGAACAAGGCGACTTTGTTCTCTTCCATAACCGTGGTCTGATCCATTCTGTCGTGGGTGCCTTTACAGAGCACGAAGTTCGTTTGTTTCGACAGTGCAACATTGCTGCCAGTTACCTTCCTCAAGCGCCTTAGGTAATTATTGCGTCGATTTTTCTAGTTAGTTTGCTTTGGTATCTATCTTAGCAGTATCTCCAAGCCCATTCCTTCTCAGGCCACCACTGTGCTCTCTAGATAACCCTAGAGAGCAAACCAACACTTGCGGACATCTTTGAACGCCAGTCTAATTTCCCAAGTGGCGCCGCTGCCGCCTGCCTAGAGCGAACGAACATTTCTCACGTTGATTCGTCATGAGACAGATTCTGCGGGGTCGGACATTGGTTCCTCCACTCAGATCGTAATCTGTTTGGACGACATTGCTGATATTGTTGGAACATGTCCGGGAGCGCTCGTCCACCCAGGAGGAGTATAACATTTAGATATAACCCAGCTGGAGCTCTGTTAAGGGTTGGTAATCTACCCCTTGAGCCCTGAGACGGTACGAGACGCATGTCTACATCTCCTGGTCGGAACAACTCGTCGTCTATCGTAACAAATGCGTGGCTGATAGGAAGCCGGGACAGGTTCTTGGCATTCTCAGACCGCCAAGTCGCCAACGCCAACAAGCAGTTTGATGTAGTATTTACAAAGGCAGCGCAGCGGCTCGCCAGCGGGATGCATCCTATTGGCTGGTAGGGATTAACCCCGCTCTCTGAGCAATGGATGGGGGTCGGAGGAAGGGGGGGATATGGGGTGCAACCATATTAAAAGCCTCCCACACCACCCCGTAAGGAGGCTTCTTTTCATCTCGCAATCTTCCATTGAACCTCCCCATGTCTGCGACGGAGCCAAAGTCTGGGCAACCAGAGCCGATCGAGGCGCCCTCCTCACTCGCTCCAGAACCCGCGACGGCGACGACGGCAAAGACGCTCCCCATGCTTCCGCCGGAGCACTGGACCGAGGTGGCCGGCCAGGTCTGCAGCAATCTCATCTCTTATTCCATCTCTTCGACCGCGGAATATGGAGGATTCAGCTTACCAGTTCCAACAGGATGGCGATGGCGGCGACGACGCTGACTCGGCCCATGGCGACGATGCGGCGGAGTCTACGGCATCCCTCACGTCCACCATCCTGAGATACAGGACCATTCGGGGGCGGACTTATCACAGTGAGATTGGCAATGCTCAGTACTGGTGTGCCCCCCAGTTCTCAACTATTCTTATCTCTAATTGGCACATACTAACTTGCACAATTACCTGCCGTAGGGGAGCCAACGACGATGGCCATAGCGAGTCTCTAGACATCCTGTGAGGAAGACAGTGGGGGACATTTGGTTGTTTGATGCTTACAAGTTACAGAAACCATGTTTTTAATCTCTGTCTCGACGGTCGACTTTATGTGGCACCCATCACGGATGATCCCAAGGTCAGTAGTCACTCAAAATCTACTCCCAGTCAACGGACCCATTGAGTAATTATGTGTTGTCTCTTTTAGAAAGTCCTTGACATAGGAACTGGTACCGGTTAGTTGTCGTCATTCGTCCCGAGCATCTTCGGCACCCGTTCTAACTGTTCCTCTTCCCAGGAATCTGGGCCATGTAGGTAAACTTGACGGAAACGACGCCGTCTCGTCGCCATGGGGCAATGCTCACCCCTTGATAGCGACTTTGCAGATCAGTTCCCGGGGTGTGACGTGATTGGCACGGACATCAGTCCTATCCAGCCCGGCTGGGTACCCCCGAACCTCAGATTGTGCGTTATCGACCCCTTGAGCTCGAAGAGGGAACAGACAGGAAGCCAAGCCAACTAACGATCCGCAGTGAGATTGAAGACTGTACTCGAGAATGGACCTTTGAAGAGAATGGATTTGACTTTGTCCATATCCGATACCTGACGGGCTGTATCCTGGACTGGACCGAATTCTTCAAGGAGGCCTACCGGTGCCTAAAACCGGGCGGGTGGTTGCAAAGCTACGAGTCGTCTCCTACCGTTTTCTCCGATGATGATACTCTCCCCAAGGATAGCGCCATCGCTCAGTGGGGGCCAATCTTTATGGGGGGTGGCGAGAAGACCGGGCGAACCTTTGCCGTGGTAGATGATGGGCTCCAGAACACGGCCATGGAGAAGGCTGGGTTTGTGGATGTTCAAGAAAAGTGGATCGAGGTACCCTCCTTTTTTTTTTAATTCGATTTCTGTCTCTACTCGTGACTGGTAACTCACACATATATCTTCACTATGTAGGTTCCTAGCGGTGGCTGGCCTAAGGATCCAAAATTGAGGGAGATCGGCCAATTCTCACAGGTGGCGCTCTTATCAGACGTTGAAGGCTTCATCTTGTTCTTCACGAACGTTCTGGGCTGGTCCAGAGATCAGGTCCAAGTCTACATCGCCCACCTTCGGCGAGAGCTTCGTTCCTTGAAGCATCATGTCTACTATAAGCAAAAGATTGTATGGGGCAGGAAGCCGGAAGCACAATGAGACTTTCTATGCGGGGCATGGGTCATACGGGAGTGAAAGCACAGTAAGGCTGAGAAGGCTGTAAAGGCCGCAAGGAAAGACAGGTCGCTAAGGGATGGAAAGGGGTTGCTGACTAGCTTCTTGACCAAATTTGCTGCAGAGCCTCGCGCTGCCGAGGTTCTCAGCCTAAATATCAAGCGCCAGGGCAGCCAACATTATCGTCCTGTGTCTAATGCATTCCAGGACGGCCTTTCACGTGCACCCTGCTGTTTGCTAGAGGTACTGTAAACACGGAAACCTGTGTCACCCAAGTTGAGCCCACTGTCTGTTGGCTGCTGGCGGTGGCGGTGGCGGTGGCGGTGGCGTTGGTCTTCTGGGGAGGGGTAAATGGCTGTGAATGCTGCTTTATTAGATTGGATGCCCTATTTATCTGATGACAAGCTAGATAAAAGCTGTGCAACCTAGTTAGACCACTTTAACTGGGAAGGACCGTCCCATATTGTGTGATTGCCCACGCTCCCTGCATAATTAAATGCAAACTATGACTCACCAGTCTTCTAAGATGCATAATGGGGTGATTATCGAAAAACGAGGCTGTAATGTCCCAGAAAAGCTGCAGCGTAATATCGAAAAATGAGGCTGCAGCGTAAGGCAGCATCGGAACTGCGTAGACTTGACCAGCTTAAATAACGCATGATCCCTTTCTCCTAATAAAGATACCGAGAATAAGTTGAAAATTTCTTAATTGTCTAAGTACGGTATCTTTCATTGTTCAACCGCTTAGTCGTGCTCTTTTCACTTCATTGCAAACCCAAACCCAAAACTCGAACCCAAGCATGTCGGCCACTACCACTGGAGTGATCCACATCTACATCGACAACTCCAATCTGTGGATCCAAGGGCAGAAGACATACGCCGAGAAAAAAGCTCTCGAGGTTGAGTGGGACCCGACGTGGCGATTCGACGTTGGTCGTCTGAAGGCCATCCTCACTGAAAACTCTGGGCTACAAGCCGACGAGAAAGAGTTCGATGTTAAGGTCAACTTGTACGGATCCACCCCTCCCCCCGTGGATACGGTCTGGAGAGCGATTGAGTCCCACAACGTGAATGTGAGCACGTTCGCAAGAAGTTCGTGGACTGGGCGCGAAAAGCAAGTGGACTCAAAAATAAACGTCGACTCCGTTGCCGAAGCGGCTAAGGCGTACTATCGCCAGATTCCCAGTGCGTTCATGATTGTCTCAGGTGATAGAGACTTGCTCTCGGCGGTGTCGAAAATCACGACGGAATACGAGTTTCGGGTGCATGTGTGGTCGTGGAAGAATGGCCTTGCCGGTGTATATACGCAGCAGCAGGAAGACAAGCTTATCCGAGTGCACTTGCTTGACGACTATCTCGAGAAAATCGGCTTCCGCGAAACCACGTTCCGCGTCGATCGGAATACCATCAGCCCCCACAGCATCGTTGTTCTCGATCCGACGCCCAAGGCCACTGAGATCCAAGAGTTTCTTTCACGTCTGAGAATTCCAGTCTACCGGTACGTCTGCGCCAAGAAACGCGCTGACGCGTCTAGCGAAGACCTCGTCATTATACCTGCGCACACGAAGAGAATGAGCTTCGATGACCTGGTCAATTTGTTTGAGGAAGCTAAGGCGCAGCTCGAAACTCATGGGCTGAGCGTGTTCACTTACATGGAGTACTCCCAGCAGTATATTGGGGACTCTAGAGACGAACTGGGGATTTCCAATAGATTCAAAGAGCTGCCAGAAGACGACGGCGAGAATGACGACAAGGATGACGAAGAAGATGACGGCGAAAATGACAACGACGACGACGACGACGACGACAACGACTCCTTCATTGAGGTTAATCGTCGTTCAAAGCAACAAAAGAGCCGTTTGAAGAAGGACGAGCAAAAGTCTCGCAGCCGATGCATCTGGCGAAAATACTGCAAGAGCGAACTCAACTGCAAGTATGGTCACACCAAGGAGGAGGAGGATTACTTGAGGGTCTACGGCCACAAGACGGCGAGGAAACACAGGCGCTGCCAGGACAAAGATTGCTTTCGGGGAAGTCGTTGCAACTTTGCCCATGGCGAGGCGGAGCTGTTTTGTCCCACTTGCGGCAAGACGGGGGCGGGGCACGCAATGGGGGAGTGCCCTGAGAGATGGCAATAGTGCATGTCAGCTGGCCTAGGGACGTTGTGTGCGGATCTTTGCAGCAAGCTGAAAGTGTTAGGGCTAGGAAGGCAAGGCTTCAATATGAATTGCCAATTTGACCTGTGGTCTTCGGTTTCGGAGTCGTTGGTGAGCGTGTCAAAACTGGGATACTTGTCGTCAACGAGGTGTCTGACGATTTGCGCCGTGATCTCAGGCGGAAGTGAAATAACGCGCGACATTTGGCTTGGTAGGCGGCTGGCGTTTGGAGCGAATAAAGCAATCTCGCCTGATCAACTAAATCAGTCTCTAATCAATACAGGTTATGATCAAAATGCCGCCGGCGTGATGATGCGGACGAGATACGTCTTTTGTAGGCAATTTTTGGCAGCTGCTAAAGCTCCGCCGGTAATTAAACGGAGTACCACGTCGATGACAGCAGCCGATTAGCCGTTGAAAAGTAAAATGGCTTCTTACCTTGCTACTCCATTATGGTGTGCATTTCCATCTAGACCGGTGTGAATTTCTGATTGCCATGTCAGCAGATTGGAGAATTGCACAAGGGTTTCACTTTAATTACCCTCCTCATGTTTCCAAGCCACCTTGGATACAAGTCTTTGCGTTTGGAGTTAAAATAACAAGCCACGGTCTAATTACTTTCTTCTATTACAAATGGCACATGCTTTCAGCACATTGGCTTTGTAACTATCAACCGAAGTCTTGCAGGGTGAGGTGCAGAGACTGGTCAGCTCGTCGGACGACATCTGACCCCACGTGCAGAGAGAAACCTCTCGTCGGTGATGGTTCCAGTGCAATCGACGGACGAGCTTAGAGACTCAATGCAACCTGCAGAGAAGGACGTCGTGGCGTTGGTAGCAGCAAACAAATATGTATCGGAAGAGGACGCTGGACCGTTGAGGGTTCCGTTGGCCTGGGAAGAAACATTGCGGACCTGGACGGCATTTCGGAAGACGTGCAGCAGACGAGCACCATCATGGGCGCCCTTGAAGATAGCGGAGGCCCTCACTGCAAGTGGAAGCAAAGGGAGGCACAATCCAGCAGATTTCCCTTCTTAATCTTGTATTATTGAGATTTAATACTATTTTGTTTGCAAGCTGACACTGTTTTGTGTCGTCTAATATGTTTTGCTTCCCGCTCATGCCTTTGCCTTCTTTTCTCCTTTTTTTCTTCCCGGTTTCCCCTGTCATCCTTTCTTCCTTTCTTCCCCATCTTTCCCGGTTATGCTTTTACAACAAGTTTAAAACCCGATCGGGCCACTCTCAAAGCCGTGTACATGAGACCAGCGACGGAAGCGGTGACGCCAGCGAAGATCCACAGCCTCAGCCAGTGCAACGGCTCCGTTCTGCCCAAGATGGCGCCACCGCCTGGACCGCCAACGAGGAGGCCGAATGAGGTCATGGCGAAACCCATGCCAATTCTCGTCCCGATCCTGGATTTGTCCTTGATCAGGGCGGCGAAGCAGACTGGTGGCATGGCGGTGAAGACGCCGGAACAGAAGCCGCCGAAGGCGGTGACGACGACGATGCCGGCCGAGGTGTGGGTGGCGATGGCGCAGAAGTAGATGACGCCGGTGAAGAGGATGCAAGGGGCGAGAATGTTGAAGGGGCCGACCTTGTCGGACATGGCGTTGGGAATGATACGGCCGGCGGCCGAAGCGGCGTTGTAGATGGCGACGAGGTAGAAGGCCAGGTCGCGGGTGGTGAGTTTCTGGTTGGCCGAGTAGAAAGAGAAGTAGAACTGGAAGGCGGCGAGGCCCATGAAGCCGATCATGGTAGCGAGGGCAAACCACATGTAGGGGAGGTCGGTGAAGGCGGTCCAGTCGATGACAGCGCGCGGCTTAGCCGGCTTGACGCGCATCCTCATGACGCCGACGGGGACAGCGAGGGTGGCGAGGGCGATGAAGCCGACGACTCGGACGGACCAGGAGAAGCCGACGAGCTTCAGGAGCCGGTGCACCACGATCGGGTAGATGACGCCGCCGAGCGAGGTGCCCGAGGAGGCGACGCCGATGGCGAATCCGATCCTCGAGCTGAAGTAGGTGGGCAGGACGGAGATGCACGGCACAAAGAGACAGCCCATGCCCACGCCAACGCAGACTCCCTGTGCAAGAACGACCTGCCAGTACTGTGTCGCGAGGCTCAACATCATATGCCCAAACACGATGCAGAAGGCGCCCGCAACCAGCAAGGTCCGCAGATAGCCCCTGTCGTAGATGGGGCCAGACGCGATACCGCTAAACTGAACCAGGAACGCCTGGATAGACCCGATCCACGAGATGTCCGACGACGGCCGCTGAAAGAGCTCGCCGCTCTCGTAGTACGTCTGGAAGACGCCGAACGAGGTCAAGATGCCCCAAGTGTTAAAGAAGAGCATGAAGCCGCCCAGCACGTGGAGCCATGCCTCCAGGCCGCCGTTGGGGGGCGGAGGGAAGGCAGGGCCGGCCCGAGGACTTGACGACGGTGAATTTGCGGCCGGTTCCTGCGGCGAAGCCCGTGGACTTGGGCCGTCATGGCCCTTTTCTGAAGGGGGGCCCGAGCCAGAGCCCGAGACCGAACCCAAGTTCGAGTGTTGGTGCTGTGCAACGCTTGTGTCTTTCTCGCCGGTGTTCATTTTCACAACACGTCTTCCTCAACAGTGAGCAGTGTACGTGATGCTACCGGTCAACTGGAGGTATGTGATACGGAGAAAGAGGTAGGAACTAACAAATTGACAGGAGAACCAGCTACTTGGGGCAGACATAAGGCAGAGAAGGCAATGCGAAGAAACTGCATTGGGATGAAACTAGATGTGAGTCAATCTCGGTTATACAATCGGAAATCCGAGCTGCCCTACCAACGGCTGCTCTGCACCGGACAATTGAACATGGAAAAGTAGCAGCCATCTTGCTTGGTCCCGCTTTGGGTGCGAGAGCGACAACAAGCTGCGGCCCGAACGCTTATTTTCGCAACCCCCTGACATATCAGACCATAAGCGTCGGGAAGATTAACCCCAGACTCGACGATCCACATTTTGCATAGATTGTGATGTAAATTTCCCTTTTTTTTTTTTTTTTTTTTTTTTCTTTGCCTGGAGCATCTCGGACTCGCGATGCTACGTCAAAATACCAAACCGAACTGCTTACTGTGGTAATAGGCCGCATTGTATCCGCGAGTTGCTCGGACATAACAGTGGAGACAGTAGATCAAGACGCTTGCACCCAATGAGGAGGAAGAGAGAGCAGGTCACACTCGGCGCTAGCAGCTCACTCGACTAAATTCTCCTCGGAATCCGATCCTCGTTAAAGGAAGAAGCTGACCCGACCTAAAAAAGGCATAATTAAGCGCATTTTAGTATGGGTAAGGGAACAAGGCAGGCGTGGCAGGGCGCCTAATGGACACTGGCATGACACTAGCATCGCACTAGCATTAAGCGGGCCGGCCCTTGCAACCACTAGCATTGCCGATGCAGCCTCAAAAAGCAACCTCACTCTAATTAGCGATTAAACAGTGCTTACTGCGTAGTTCGCCTCACCTGTTCGCTCCGACCGGGCAGATCTAGGGACGGAATTAGGCTTGCACTTCCCAATGTAGTTACGGAGGGTGGCTACTGATGGATGCAAAACTGTAAGCGCGCCTCTTTGTGGTTGTCTGCTAAAAATAATGGCCGAGTGGAGGCGACAGTGGGCAGGCCCGAATGCACGTCCGCTAGGATGTCTTTCCAGGGCCCTCGCGTCCCGCAAGAGGCCAGCATTGTCAATAACACCCAAACCCCCCTGTTGTTCTCCCTTCCCGTTTTTAGGAAGGCTTGGGTAGTATTCACCCGTCACGGAAGAGAAAAAAATCGTGCCTTGTCGAAGTTTGTCCGATTTTATCAGTGAGTAACTAGATGCACCTCCTTTGCCTTGTCGGTTTCTCTTCTATTGGGTTTCATGCATCATGTCGGGGTTAGTTTTGCTCCGCGGCGGCACCGAGGAGGGAGATAATTGGGCCCTGCAGCACAACTATCAGCCACCGATTAATTATTACCTCATTCCCTCTGGTCCATTCGCCTCCCAGTTCAAGTAATTACTACCGACCTTGGCAGCGTCTCACATCTGCTCAACTGAACCCATGGTCTACCCACGACACGAGGCTGTGGGTGGCGTGGACCCGACCCTCCCCGCCCGCGAATTCTCTGCCTTCACGGCGGCGGGACCAATGCGCGCATCTTCCGCATGCAGTGCCGCATCTTGAGGGCCAGCCTCGGCAGGGACTTTCGTCTGATCTTTGCCGAAGGCCCCTTCCGACGTGAACAGCGTGTACAAAAACTTTGGCCCCTTCCGCTCATGGATACAGACCCCCGAGTCCCAGCGTGGGCAAGGCCAAGGGAGGCTCACCATGGCCAGCGCCGCCGAGGTGGTGGGGCTGATTGAAGCGGCTCTCGGCGACGCCATAGCCGCCGACGATCTGCGTGGGGCGACCGGAGAGGTGGTGGGGCTCCTCGGGTTCAGCCAGGGTGCCAAGATTGCCGCTAGCCTCCTTTACGCGCAGCAGCATTGTCTCAGCACAGGTGGTGCCATCAATGTGGAGCACAAGTTCCGGTTCGCCGTGCTGCTGGCTGGCCGCGGCCCCCTCGTCTGGCTTGTTCCTAACCTGCCCACCCCGCCAGGGCTACTGAGTGCCGCCCAGCTGTCGACAGCTGTGCTCGGGGTCGCGGACTCGGAAGACGCCGCGCACCACTGCCACCTGCTGCAGGTGCCGACCATCCACGTCCACGGGCTAAGCGATCCCGGGCTCGAGCTGCACCGGCGCATGCTCAAGCGGTACTGCCATCCCGACTCGGTAACGCTGGTCGAGTGGCATGGCGAGCACCGCGTGCCCATCAGGTCGGGGGATGTGGAGTTGATGGTGCAGCAGATCTATCGCGTCGCGAGGGAGGCAGTCGTGCCGGGTCGCTGTGAGCAGGCAGACAGGGTTGTAAAACATGTCGAACTTTGGCCCGTGTTTAGGGGCGTCAGTTGTCTAGTGGCGAGCTCTTTAGGGGAATAATAATCATCAGGAACGAGGCACTGCAGGAGCGAGCTGAAGCGTGAGGAAGGCATCCATCCCATCCGTAAGGGATCAACGGGCCATACATGGACACACGGTTTTGATTGTGACGGGACTGAAGCAAAGACTGGGGAAAACTCCCTGCAGAGGCTGACCCAATAATTAACCCAAAGTTATGATACCCATCCAGGTGTAACAATACAGTCAATAATTACTGTCATCGGTCGATCCAGACTCGCCGATAAGTGGGTCTAAGCAACTCCCGGGCCGCTTACCGCGAACTAGACCGAATGTCCGGCTCTGTTGCAGGTACTAAGTAGGTAAATCTAGGCGAAATACCGATCCACACGGAGTGTTCCATTGGATCACAGAATAGGCTAGCCAGGTAAACCCAATCTGGCAGGATGCCCCCGCAGGACGTCCATTTGAACAAGCATTTGTAGAGTGCATTACTGGCGTTTCGGGAGAACAGTGAGAGAACGAAAAGAGAAGAAAAACGCCACACGGTTGTGTCACTGTCACTACAGCTAGCTATTCGGGTAACAACTCTAAGATGTGCGCGTCTCTAAGCCAGCCCGGGCCAACATGTTACCCGCTTATTCCCTCTCTCTCCTCTCATTCCCGTACGATCCTGTAATCCTGTCACGTCACGCACGTAACGACTCCGTGCAACCTTTGATACATATATGAGCTGCCCCTTGTGGGCCTAGGAAACCCGTCCCGTCGACCGGGGAGGAGGCGAAACGCGGAAGGCACCGCGCTCATTTGGTTTGCCTCGGCTGCATTATAATAAGGGACATAGGTGACACGGAAGGGTGGGAATATTAGGTCACCGACATGGCCTTCGGTAAAAGAAGCAAAAGCAACATAAAAGTACGAAGTAAGACAAGCGCATAAAGTGAAGAAGAAGAAAAGAGGCGGTGGAAACGAAGATATGTCACAGCTCAGCGCAACTATAACCCAGGGCGCGCAACTAGTTTCGTCTTCTCCGCGCCAACGACAGAAGCCGGGCTCAGCCTGTGAAGAATGTCGACGGCGCAAGCTGCGTTGTGACCGCCAGCAGCCTCAGTGTGGCTTGTGCCGAGCCTCAGGTGTCGCGTGCCAAATAGCCAACTCTAATTTGCCTCGTGGGCCAAAGCGGGGTTACCTAAAGGTGCTGCAGGCTAGGTTAGGTAAGAATCTTCCCCCCCCACCCGCCAAACCAACCCAAAAAAATAAAAATAAAAATAAAAATAAAAACCTCCCCAAGACACATGAGAAAAGGGGCACGGGGAGAAGGGGAAAAAAAAAGAAAGGAGAAAAAGGAGGGAACTTTGGGCTGATTGGAAGTTAATTAGCGGCTCTTGAAGGCAGCCTCTTGCAGCAGCAGCAGCAGCAGCAACACCAACAACACCAACAACCACAACCGCAACGGGCTGACAAGAGCACGGACGCGCCTACGGACGAGTTTTTGATCGACAACATCGCCTTTGGAAACCAGCTTACTCCGCCGTGGGACCTCTTCTCCGTCCCGGAATTCACACGCGAGACACCCGTGCCGGAGGCGCAGCCCAGGGTTGAGGCACAGTCCATCTATGCGGGCGCACAACTCGTGTTTCCGAATGACAGCATCTCGGATGCCGGGGGCGGAGGAGGAGCCTGGTTATCACCGGGTTGCGACGTCTACGGCAGTCCGCCCGAAGATGAGCCAGCAATACAGGATTCGGTCTTGAGCGCCGTGTCGTTTGACCGTCCCAGCCGGTTGCCGGAGATCCAAGCATCGCAGTTGATGCAAGAAGATCTGTAAGTCTCCCAATTAATCCTCAGAACTTCCAACGCTTTTCCACTCCCCCCTCTTTCAGGAGTGCTTTTTGGTTTTTCTTTTCCCCTTTCTTTCTAGTCTTCCCATCTCCTCCACCTTCTTGTTCAGTTGTTCAAGTAGCCATCATCAAGGCTAACTAACCGCCCACCGGCGAGCTCCGCAGAGACCAGCTGTACGCGGACAGGATGCACTCCTTCGCTCCGATCGTCCATCAGCGCCGATACCACTCGTGGAGGCGGAAGCTGGGGAAGAGCGAGGCGCAGCTGTGTCTACAGTTGGCCATGTGGACGCTGGCGGCGTCGGTGTCGGCGCCGTACCAGAACGTGGCCGAGTCGTTGTACCGGAGCGCCCGGGGCGCGCTCGAGGGTCTGGACTCCCGGCGGGCGGGTCCGGTGGCCGCGCACTGCGTCGAGGCTGTCCAAGCCTGGGTGCTGCTCGCCATCCACGAGTTCATGTGCGCCGAATTCCACCGGGCCTGGTCTAGCGCCGGGCGCGCATTCCGGTTAATCCAGCTCAACTGGCTTCCAGACATGGACGGGCCGGACCACGGGGCCGCGAAGCCGCCTGACCGCGTCGAGGCCGAGCAGAGAAGGAGGACGTTCTGGATGGCATACTGCCTCGATCGACTCTTCAGCATCCGGAGTGGCTGCCCTTTTACGTTCAGCGAGCAGGTAAATTAATCCAGCGACCCTATCAGAAGATGAGGAAGAAAAGAACACGAGAAACAGCGAGAGAGAAAGAGAAGGAAGGATTGGTGCCATCGACGTCACCTCACCGCCGTGTGGCACTCAAGGGTTTCGACACGAACAATGCTGTTGTTTCGGCATTTGGCGGGGGCTAACATGTTTTGCCGGACAACGCAGATCTCCATCCGGCTCCCAACGCCGGACGTGCACTTCCAGAGCGACCAGCCGACGCCCATGGGATTCCTCTGGGAGGCGCTGGCGGGGCAGGACATGGGCCCGACGTCGGCGCTAGTCGAGTGCATCGTGTTGGCGACCCTGTGCGGCCGGGCTGTGAGCCACCGGCACCAGTCGCTGATGGACAAGACCTTCTGCAAGTCCAAGGCGGGCCCGGCCGAGGGCTTCTGGGCACGCCACCAGGGCACCTGGGCCATCCTGACGTGGAGGATGGACCTGTTCGCGGCCAACCACCTGCCTGACCTGCGCGAGACCGACCCGACCCTCCTGTTCGTCAGCATGATGTGGCAGGCTGTCGTTTTGCATCTGTACCAGACCATGGACCGTGTCGTGCCCATTCCCGGCTTGCAGACACCCGCCGCTGTCGAGCTCGCGAGACACGCATCTGTCGCTGCCCAGGAGGCGGTGGGCCTGGCGGCGAACTTGCTGCGGGGGAGCTACATGAAGGTGAGTGTCGCCCGTTGCGTCCGGCTTTGGTAGACCTCCATCCTCCAGCCGCGCGCAGCCGTGCGGGAATTAGCACACGGATGCTGATGCCAACCCTGACCCTGACCCTGACGCTAACAAGATCCGACCAACAGATCCATCCGCTCACGTCGATACCTCTGTCCCTGTGCGCCGACTTCTTCGCGTCGTGCCGCGACTTCGCCGACCCGTTCACGCCACAGCTGCGACGGATTGCCGAGGCCGCCCACGGGTTAAGGAGCTTCAACAGCCTCGTCGCCGCCGCTGTCGCTGCTGTGGGGGTGGATGACCGTGTCGGCGGCGGCGGTCAGGCGGGTCAAGCGGGTCAAGCGACTCAGGCGGGGAGTTTTGAGAATGGCCCGTTGACGGATCTGTTCCGAACATGGAGCAATCTAGGTGCGGGTTGGGAGAACGAAACTGACCTATAATTGGAGCGGGGAGGTTTACTACAGCTCGTGCTAGTCATACAAAAGACACTCTAGATTTCGACAAAAAGGGAGGGGGGAGGGGCGAACGGAAAATACAAAAGAAGCAGGCACCTTGAAAATGCATGACCAAATCAGTCAACATCGTCTCGTATAAGTGTGCAATTAATCTTTAGCATTCCCTCCTACTGTTAGACCTTGTTGGGCCGGTGTTGGGCGTCTTGGCTTTTAAAGAATTATGGCTACTGTACTCGCGAACACATGACGAGCTAAAGCCCTGGGGCAGCAAAGCACTAATTAGACGTAAGGGACACTTCGGATAGACGGGTCGGGTGGGTAGTGAATAATGCAACCACAAAAGAGTGCCTGCAGTGTTGGTAATAAATTGATAATGCTTAGCAATCCCAAACCATCTCACAAACGCCTTACCAACAACGCCCAAAGGTTGCATGCCCTAGTAGCCGGGGTACACAAGAGATTGCAGCTGGTTGATGGAAGAGCACTAATTACCACTGAGGGAGGTGCGATTCAGTTTGGCAAGCTTCGTGTAACGACGGATGGAAGCATATGCCCCGGCCCGCTCTTCAGAAGGGTATCCGTGTGGAAACGGGTTGGCCCATTGACGCTTTGCAAAGAACCGGCACACCCTCGATGAAGCCCGGCGTAGAAGCTCTGCGGGATAGGCTCGAATACCCGTGGCTCTCAATCCCATATTACGGGCCCAAAGACCGTCTAGTCTAGTCAGAGCGGTCTCTACGGTTTGGCAACCTTACCGCGAATTAATTAGTGGATATTATCGTCAGTTTACCAAAGTACGGAAATGGGACATTGGAATAGGCACGACAGTCAACAGTAGCTAATGCAAAGGGGTAGCGATGGTGTCACTGAAAGCATAGATATATTCTTTACAACCGTGAACTCTAGCCCAGCAACCCAACACCTACACCCAACCATCGTAGCGCCATTGTCGTTCCTCCAATCCCTGCGAGAGAGCCGGGGAAGGTAGCTCTACAGGGGCCTCCGTACCGCGCACTTATACGGCGTGATGGTAGCCCTCTCTAGGTCCCAGACGCCAGCTTTGGCAAACGGATCCTCCCTCAAGATTTTCCATACCTCCTCCTCGGTCGCGGTCCTGAACATCATGGCGCTCCCCGTTACCGGGAGAGGGCCCGCCGCCGGGGTCTTGGGCTGCGACGACAGCGTCATGCCGCCCACCACAATCGTTCCCGCGTCCACGTATGGTCTCGTGTGGCTCAGGTGTTCGCCTACGTGGGCCAGCCGGGTTGTCAGCACGTCGGGCTTGTCAGGGAGCTGCACGAGCCAGTCGTAGAGCTGCGATGACATTTTCTTGTTTTCACTTTTCCTCTCGCACTGTCCTTGGCTGATAAATCCGTACGGTGATGTGGCCTGGGGAAGGCTGGCGGCGCGGCAAAGACTGTGAGGGCTGCGTGTTGATGGTTGGTTAACTGGTCAGCGAATCTCAACCAGGGTGGTTGGTTGGGTCCTGGTTCAGTCACTCACTGTTCGAGATATCGAGGCTAGGTTGGATGTGCAAGGACTACAGAGCGAAGCCAACCTTGGGACCTGGAAAACTAAAGGCCAATAGCCGTCATATGACCGGATGCGAGGATCCAGTCAACCAAACTCTCGCCGTAGTAATTAGCCAAGCAAATTAGGGCTGCTCGTGTCCCCAAACCGTTGTCTGTCAGCCGAGATAGTCCGAACCAGGTAAAAAATAAATTAAGGGGGTGGTAGTACTTACCATACACAGTAGCATCTAATAATTACGTCCGAAATCTAATCAGTTATTACGTACCGCCACGCATGTTCTCCAGGGCTACTCTGTAATCGGCCCACCCGCATGTAACCTTCCAGAGTGGGGAGTACTACCTAGCTACACATGTAGTTGAAGGGCCCGGCTCGGATCGGAGTTTCTCTGATCGGCGTTGCTGTAGAATGTTGCTAGCTATACGAATCCGTATGCATGTGTACGCGTGCTAAATGACGTCTGCACCAAGTGCCTAGTCTGGCCTCTTTAGATCCTCCGAAACGAGTAGCACCGCACTGTTGCAGTAATCATACGGCGGCGGGAGGAGGGCCTGGCAAGTCTCTGCCCATGTTTGCAGCTCACACCGTATCCTCTGCTCAAGCGATTCCCTGGCCGAGAATGAGTAGCGGAGTAATCATTCGTCGGCGGGAATGATAACTCCGAAGGACTATGTTGACGGCTACATACCGATGGCTGGTTCGAGGCGAAGGATAACCGGTCACATCTAGCAGGTTGGCTGCTATCCGCCACTGAGAACGTGCTGCAAGTCACAGCGGATGAATGGATGAATCTTATTTGAAACACTCAAACCTATAAACAGCTAGTAATTACTCGTTGCTTTGACACGCGTATCACCGCATGCAAGTTCTTGCCCCTGGCAGGAACACCAGCTCAAAACCTAATTACAACTCAAGCCAACACCGCGCAACACCTCACACCCCCCAGAAGTTGATTCCAAATCTTGAAAATGGGTAGCGTCATTCCAGAAGCCATCCCTACCGTCGACATCGGCGCGATCCTGTCGCCGACGGCTTCAGATGAGGCCAAGAGAGAGGTTATTGAAGCCGTTCGGTATGCATGCACCACCTACGGCTTCTTCTACCTCATCGGCCACGGCGTGCCGCTCGAGAGTCAGAAGGGGATCCTTGACTGCGCCAAACGCTTCTTTGACCTCCCCATGGAGGATCGAATGGAGGTCTACGTTGGGAAGTCGATGGGACGGTCGTTCCGCGGCTACGAGCCCCCGCTGATCCAGACGCACCACGAGGGTTTGCTTCCGGATATAAAGGAGGTATGATACGAGGCGCGAAGGTCTCTCTTGCCCTGATACTTGGCCGACGAGAGTGGGGAAACGAAGGAAAAAGGAAGGAAAAAAGAAAAGAAACGGACAAGAAGAACTTCAGGAGAAGCTAGTTGAGCTGACGGAAGATGATATAATTAGACCTTCCTCGTCGGCGCCGAGATTCCAGCCGACCACCCAGACGCTGGCAGTTTCTCGACAGGGCCAAACCTTTGGCCGTCGGCCCTTCCCGAGGACGAGTTCCGGACCCCGATCATGGAATACCAGGCCACCATGGTTGACCTGGTGAAGGTGATCATCAAACTCCTCGCTCGGGGCCTCCCTGCCTCGTGGGGTTGCCCTCCGGATGTCTTCGATGCCGCTGCGGAGAACCCATCCATTCCGATGAGGATGCTGCACTACGCGCCTCAGCCCTTAAAGGACGAGAGGCAGTTTGGAGGTAATAATCGTTTCATTACTCTATCTTTAATTCCGGTTTATTTATTTCTAGGTTTTCATTTTGGCCGCTCTTCCATTCCGTTCTTCTTCTTCTTTCCATTACTATGCTGTCCATCAATGATGTTCTCCTGATTCCCTCAAATCGGGGCTGGCATTGGCTAGCTTTGGTTGTGCCCATCCGGATGGAATCGAGGAGAGAGACCATATAATCATCTACCGATCCAGTACGAGACTCGGATTCATCACTAAGAGGTTGACTGCGTCACAGTTGCCGACCACACTGACTTCGGCTGCGTGACCATCCTCCTCCAGGAGGTCGGCAGTAAGGGCCTCGAGGTGTGGTACCCGCCGACGGAGACGTGGATCCCCGTGCCGCCCAAAGAGGGCGCGTACGTAATCAACATGAGTGATATGATGCAGAAGTGGACGGGCGGATACTACCGCAGCGCCCGGCACAGGGTTCTCACCTCGTCTGACCAGCACCGGTACAGCGTCGCCTTCTTCCTCAACGGGAACCTGAAGCTGAACACCAAGGCCCTGGACGGGTCTGGCCGGGAGACCAACATTGGGGAGCATATCAGGCAGAGACTAATCGACACACTGGGAGAGACGGGCAACCTGCTGAAGTGACGGATGGGGCCGCTCTTCCCGGACGAGGAACTGGGCAGGGAAGCGGTGGTAGATGTCCGGTCAGTTCTAAGTGGTTGGATGTAGCCTAGCTTGCTGATAGTGCAATTTGCTATTCTTACATTCCTGACCGAGCCAGTGACTGCAGGCGATTATCAGAGACCGTGGGGCTCAAGTCTGTATTACGAGGGTTAATTTAAGCACGCATTGCTTGCTCCTTTCTTGGCTATGCAAATGGAAGATGTAAGCTCCTGTTAATGCCGTGCTAATTAATTGTTGTCGGAATAATTATTAGGCATCGCACGCAACTGATTACAAAGAACATCTCTTATTTATGTGCCTCCTTGTGTTTACCTCTGCGTAGGTATCTTATGAGAGAAGATATGTAGGCATCTGATGGCGCAAAAAGAGATGTAATAATCACTCGCTTAAGTGTAATTAGGCTACACTCAATCAGTCAAATCTCTATCACTTCCCAGATGACTCGACTCTACAATGGTGCTCATTCTAGTTCGACTATGGAGGAATCTGTCGTGTCGACTGTCAACTATCGACTCGGATTTCCGAAACCGCAGCCACCAAGCTGTTGATCGCCAAGCTGTTGATCGACTCGTCCTTTGCCAACACGTCCTTTACCGACACGTCCATTGCTGACACGTCCTTTGCTGACACGTCCTTTGCTAACACGGCATCTTGGACTCGGCCATCAGCCCTCGCGCCGTTCGCTGGTTCGTGCGCCCGCTCCCGCTCCCGTTCGCGTTCCCGTTGCCGTGCCCGGGCTTGTGCCGCAGACGCCTTACCGAAGGTCTCGATGGTGTCCATCACCATGCCGGCGATGTCGTAGTACCATATCTTGTGAGACCGGTCCTTGACCTCCTCGAAGCAGGTCTCGGCCTTGAGCCACTTGGCAGGATTGGCCCAGTCGTCCTGGTGGTGCAGGTCGCACATCCGCCGACTACTATTGACAAGCCACTGGCTCCGGGTGCGCCTAACCTTGTCGTAGACATCGAATGCGGTGGTCAGGGCGGCGCCCCTGGCGGCCCGGTCGCGGCGGGTCGAGGCCAACACCTCGCCCATCAAGACCGACAGGCATAGAGCGTCCTCAATGCCCATGCCGGCGCCGGCGCCGTGGTGGGGGCTGGTGGCGTGGGCGGCGTCGCCGGCTAGGCAGACGCGGCCGCGGTTGTAGAAGGGCAGCGGGTACTCCCACAGGTCGAAGACGGCCCACATGTGTAGCTGGTCCGGGAACAAGTCCACGAGGTCGCGCACGGCCGGGTTCCAGTCCCGGAAGGCGGCGCGCACGTCGTCGCGAGAGCCCATCAGGGTCGTCGGCTTGCCGGCCGGCCAGTCATCGGGGTCGTGCACAAAGGCGGTCACGTTGACCATGGTGCTCTCGGCGACGGGGTAGTGAAGCAGATTGGCCCGCGGCCCAATATGGTTGTGGAAGATGCGAGCTTTATACTCGCCCAGGACGCCGATCGCCTTGTCCATAGGGATCAAGGTGCGATACGAGTTGATGTGCGTGTAGCTGGGCTCGCCTGCCGGGCTGTCCTTGCCGATGACGAACTCTCGGGTCGAGGACTTGATGCCGTCGCAGCCGATGACTGGTCATGCCGAACCGCGTCAGCACAGAGCGTAAGCGGGTAGGGGATGACGATGGGGGTGTTGTGCTTACCCGCGTCGGCCTCGAAGGTCGTTCCGTCTCGGAAGCTCAGCAGCATCTTGTCGTCGCTGCCTCTCTGCTCGATATTCTCGAGCCGCTTCCCGCACTGGATCACGCCCGGAGGGAAGAGCTTGACGAGCTCCTCAAGAAACTGGTCGCGACGGACTCCCTCGAACCCCCTGTAGCCGGCACATGCCTTGTAGTAAAACTTCTGGGAGTAAGGGTTGTCGGGGTCGCGCTGGTTGTATCCGTCGATCCAGCGCAGGTAGTCGTTCGGGTCGTCCTCGTCGGCAGCGGAGAGGGGCACAGCACCGGCCAGCCGGAGGGCGCCGATGACACCGGGGTCGATTAGCTCCATGCTCCGGATGGCTGTCGCGTTGAAGGCAATGCCGGCGCCCACTTCGCGGAAGCCCTGGGCCTGCTCGAAGAGTCGGACATTGACCTGGCGGCGAGCGAGGCCCGCAGCGAGGACGAGGCCGACGATGCCGCCGCCGATGATAGCCACCCGGAGAGAGTCGTCTTCGGGTGCAATGCTTCCCATGGTTTCTTCTTATTCTTCTTCTTTTTTTTCTTCCGGGTGGGGGACTTTGGTTGGTTGGTTGAGGCGTCAGTGTAGGACGAGTAAAGAAATGTGATGCTGTTGGACTAGAGATGACTGTCTTGAGGTGCAACGAAGGGTGACATTGACATGTCGTTGTAAAACAGAAAAATAAGAAAAGGGAAAGGAAAGGAAAAAGTATTAGAAGGCAGAAAGGAAAGATAAAAACAAAAATAAAGAACTTAAATCAGTATACAAAACTATTAGCGAGACAACAAACAACAGTCAGTAGCTTATGAAAGGGACTGTACAGATGGATACTGGATGAAGTCGAATTTCCTTCCACAGGCGTATCGTATGGAACCATATTCAGATGCGACACTGCTGAACATGGCGAAGGTGGCTTGACACGAAGGCGCCGCGGGGTAACGCACCTCCGAAGAGCGTGGGTCGTGGGGTTGCATGCAGCAACCCAGCCATGCAAGGTGTTATTTCTTATTCCAGTTCCTCGTTCTGGAAGGGCCCGGCCCCGAGGAAGGAGTGCTGAGATATGCAAGGCCCCCGATTCGTCCAGTTCCGTCGCAGTGCATATCTGGCGCCGGAGTTTCTAAGCGCGACCATGGTAGCATTCGCCTCCGTAACCGTAATCCTCGGCGCAACGAGCATGACGAGAGCATGATGACCATGGGGTTGGGGCCCGATAGGAGTTTCTCGACTTCGGAGGGGAGGGCCGGGAAACTGGTAGTCTACCGGCGCATCGGCGAACTAGGAGACGCGGAGTGTCAGAGTGTCAGAATGTCAGAGGCACGACACCCCTGTGAGAGCTGCGAGGTAATTATTAATTAGCTTAAAGGTGAAAACACGCCTGGGCCCCAAGAGCAGAGGTCGACGAGGAGCGACCAGAGAGACTTGATCACAACATTACACAAAAATCCAGAGGCGATTCTCTCAAGTGCCGAATGCCCCATGCATTACGCGTGAGGACCCTCTAAACCTACCAAAGTGCGACTTTCAACACGACGATACTCTGGTCTACTCAACTTAACCTTCTTTTTACCTACGTTCCGTTCCTTTCAACCCACTCGCCAATAAAATGGACGCAGAAAGCCGCCTGACAGGCCCCCGGCCAGGCCCCACGCTCCTGCTCTTCGGGCCCCTGGCCCTCTCGTTCGATGCAGCCGCGTTCGCGCATCTCCGCAAGACAGCGGCCGAGTCCGACCACAGCTGGATGCTCGAGGTCGTCGCCGAACTGCCCCAATGCTGGGACGCAGTTGCCGCCGCGGTCGGAGTGCGGGGTGGGGCCGGGCGCGAGAAGCTGGAGGACCTGCAAGTGGCGTTCCAGACGGGCAGGCCGCTCGAGACGGCGTTCCCGCTGCCGAACAAGGTGCTGGTGCCGTTGGTGGTCATGGCGCAGCTGCTGCAGTATGCCGCTTTCCTGCGGCGGACTAGCGCCGAGGCTGATGGGCGGGTTGACCCATTCGCGGCGGCGGCGGCGAGGAGCAGCGGGATGGAGACGTTGGGCTTCTGCACGGGCTTGCTGAGCGCGTTTGCTGTCTCGAGTTCTGGGAGTGCCGAGCAGTTTGCCCAGTATTGTGCCGTGGCCGTGAAGCTCGGCATGGTTGCGGGTATGGTGGCCGATGGGGATTTGGGGGGGACCAGCACGGAGATGGAGGCGTATAGGGCTATCGGCACAGAGTGGGATTCGGCTGAGGGCCTGGAGGAGATGATGGGGATATTGAAGGAGTTTCCCGAGGTGAGTAAGAGAACCAAACAGGCAGACAGACACAGACACAACTCACCTCTGATCCCCCCCCCCCCAACCCCTCCCATTCCATCCCCCTTTTCTCAAAAAAAAAAAAAAAAAAAAAAAATCATTCGCATAATGCCCCCCTGCTAACAACAACTGACAACACTACCCTCCAGGCCTACATCTCCGTCAACTACGACCACAATCGAGCCACCGTGACGACCACATCCTCGACGGTGCCCACCCTTCAGCGTCGCCTCAGGTCCTCGGGCATCGCCGCATCCGAGATCAGCCTCTTCGGGCGCTACCACACCAGAGACCACAGCGCCATCCTCGCCCGGCTCCTATCATTCTGCGATTCGCACGCTGCCTTCCAGCTCCCCGATGCGTCGCAGGCCTCGGTACCGGCCCGTTCCAATCGCGACGGCGCCATCATCGCCAGCGGCCCGTTGCACCACCACGCGCTTCGCTCGATCTTGGTGGAGCGACCCGAGTGGGCCGCCAGCCTCCGCGCAGCCAGCCAAGACCTGCTCCGGGACGAGGGGCCCGGCTTGGCCCTGTGCTTCGGCCCCGAGCGATGCGTGCCACCGTCTCTGGTGCGCGACCTCGGCAGCCGGGCCGTGCACCTGGCCGACCTGGCCGATCCAGATCTCGCCTTGTTTGGACGGGGAGAGCGAGGAGAGAGAAGACGGCGGCACTTCGCCGAGACGGACGTGGCGGTGGTGGGGATGGCGTGCAAGGCTGCCGGAGCGGATGACCTGGAGAGTTTCTGGGAGGTTCTCGGGTCAGGCCAGTCGCAGCACAGAGAGGTGCCGCCGGAGAGGTTCGGGTTCGAGACCGCGTTCCGGGCGCCAGATGCAAAGAGGCGCTGGTTCGGGAACTTTGTCGACGGGCATGACGCCTTCGACCACAAGTTCTTCCGGGCAAGTGCGCGCGAGAGCGCAACGACGGATCCACAGCAGAGGCTGATGCTGCAGGTCGCGTACCAGGCAGTCGAGCAGTCGGGCTACTTCCAGCGCACACGCCAGGCTGGAGATCGCCGTGTCGGGTGCTACGTCGGCATCTGCGGTACAGATTATGAGCACAACATTGCGTGCCAGCCTGCCAACGCCTTTTGCGCCACGGGCAACCTCGAGGGCTTCGCGGCTGGGAAGATCAGCCACCACTTCGGCTGGACAGGGCCTGCCATGGTTGTCGATACCGCATGCTCGTCCTCGGCTGTGGCGATCCACCAGGCCTGCCGCAGCATCATCGCCGGCGAGTGCACGGCTGCTCTGGCTGGTGGGTCGCATATCATGACAAGCCCTCTGCGGTTCCAGAACCTGGCTGGGGCCTCGTTTCTCAGCCTAACAGGCCAGTGCAAGCCGTTTGACAGCCGGGCTGACGGGTACTGCCGCGGCGAAGGTGTAGCTGCTGTATTCCTGAAGAAGGCCTCTGTTGCCGTAGCCGATGGCGACATGATCCTGGGCGTGATTGCGGCAACAGCTGTGCAGCAGAACCGGAGCTGCACGCCCATCTTCGTGCCTAACTCGCCATCGCTGTCAGACCTCTTCCGCGAGGTTCTGCAGCGCGCGCGCGTGAGGCCTGAGCAGGTCTCTGTCGTGGAGGCCCATGGAACTGGCACGGCCGTGGGGGATCCGGTCGAGTACAGGAGCGTGAAAGAGGTGATGGGTGGGCCGGCGCGGAGGGCTGGGGGGGAGCTTGTACTTGGCTCAGTCAAGGGGTCGATCGGGCACACTGAGCCAGTCTCAGGCGTGCTCTCCCTTGTAAAGGTGCTGCTGATGATGCAGAGGAAGACGGTGCCGCCCCAGGCGAGCTTTGAGGCGCTGAATCCGGCCATCGAGGCGAGCCCGGCCGACAGGATCGTCATCTCGACAAAGGCGCGGCACTGGGAGGGTGACGACGCCGGGTTCAAGGCTGCGCTCATCAACAACTACGGTGCCTCGGGTTCGAACGCGTCCATGGTTGTCACGCAACCGCCGGCTCGAGTCACACAGGCAGCCCTTACCCTTACCGGAGCGCTGCCTGGGCTGGGCTCGAAGCATCCCTTCTGGCTCTGCGGCAACGACAAGGCGACCCTGAGCCGGTACGCCGGGGTCTTGCGCCAATTTCTCACCCGCCACCGCAGGCAGGGCGACACCTACAGCGCCGACGACCTCAGCCCGGCCAACGTAGCGTTCAACCTGGCCCGGCAGAGCAACCGGCTTCTCGGCCACGGCGTCGTCTTCAGCGTCCGGTCGGCAGACGAGCTGGAGCGGAAGCTCGCCGCCGTGGAGCAGGGCGACGGCGCCGACGTCGTCGTAGCAGCCGGCGCCACGGCTCGGCCGGTGGTGCTCTGCTTCGGGGGCCAGGTGTCCACCTTTGTCGGGCTGGACAGGCAGGTATACTCCCGGGTGGCCGTGCTGCGCCACCATCTCGACACCGTGGACGCCGTCGTGCGTGGCCTTGGAGCCACGAGCATCTACCCGGGCATCTTCGAGCGCGAACCCCAGGCCGACCCGGTGGCGCTCCAGACGATGCTGTTCGCGTTGCAGTTCGCGTGCGCGCGGAGCTGGATCGACGCCGGCCTCGAGCCCATCGCCGTCGTGGGCCACAGCTTCGGCGAGCTTACGGCCCTGTGCGTGTCCCAGACGGTGTCGCTCGAGGACGTCGTCAGGGCTATTATCGGGAGAGCGAAGCTCGTACGCGAGCGCTGGGGAGATGACAGGGGCGCGATGATGGCGGTAGAGGGGGACAGAACCGAGGTTGAGAGGCTACTTGCCGAGGCGGCCAGGGAGGTCGGGGACGAGGTCCAGCGGGCCACCATAGCGTGCTACAACGGGCCTCGCAGCTTCACGCTGGCCGGGCCGACGGCGGCGATCGAGGTGGTGTCCCGCGTGCTAGAGCGACGGCCGGCCGCGTACCCGGGCCTAAGGAGCAAGCTACTGAGGGTGACGCACGCGTTCCACTGTGGTCTGGTCGACCCGCTCGTGGCGGGGCTGGAGGAGTGCGGAGGGGGCTTGACCTTCCGCGAACCCAAGATCCCGATGGAGAGGGCGACGGAAGAGGAAGCAGAGGGGAAGCCGTCGGGCGGGTTCCTGGCCGCACACATGCGCTTGCCCGTCTTCTTCAACCACGCGCTGCAGCGCATCTCCAACAAGCATCCTGGGTGCGTCTTCCTCGAGGCCGGATCTGGATCGACCGTGGCGGCGATGGCAGGTCGGGCGTTGAACACCAACACCAACAACAACGAGAAGCAGCACTTCTTCCAGGGCCTCGACGTCACCAGCGTTCCTGGCAGCGGCTGGAACAACCTCGTCGACGCCACGACAAACTTGTGGAAGGCTGGGGTGCGAGTGCACTTTTGGGCCCACCAGGGTCGTCAGACGATCCAGCAGAACCCGAGTCTTCCGCTGGTGCTACTACCGCCGTACCAGTTCGAGAAGTCGCGCCACTGGATCGACCTGAAGACGCCGCCCAAGCACGGAAACCTGCCGACTGTCTGCAGCAGCTGCTCCCAGGCCGCGAAGGCGGAGAAGAAGGAGAAGAAGGAGGAGGAGGAGCAGCTGGTGCGCTTCCTTGGCTACAGGAGCAAGGAAGGGTCAGGCAGGGGCCCCGTGGCTCAGTTCGTAATCGACACGGCTGGCAAGGAGTACGGCAGGCTCGTGTCGGGCCACGTCTTCGCCTCCACGGCGCCCATTTGCCCGGCCACGGTGCAGCTAGACTTCGTCATCGAGGCCCTGCGCGGTCTCAGGCCCGAGCTGGCGAGGCTGGAGCCGCGCCTGCAGGGGGTGCAGTGCCAATCGCCCGTGTGCGTCGACCCGGCCAGGACTCTGTGGATCGAGCTCGAGGAGGCGGCAGGAGCGGCAGCGGCAGCGGCAGCGGCAGAGCCAGGCAGGTGGGAGTTCCGCGTGTTCAGCACCGACGGGGCCGACACGGCGACAGTGCACACGACGGGGGCGGTCGTGCTGTGGCGGGCTGGCGATGCGACGGCATCGCTGGAGATGGCTCGGTTGGAGAGGCTCGTTGGCGGGCTGGCTCGGTGCGAGGCCGTGCTAAGGGGCGGCGAGGAGGGCGACGAGGTGTTGCAGAGTCGGAGCATCTACAAGATCTTTGCTGACGTGGTCGACTACACTGGCGACTACCGCGGTGTCCAGAGGCTGGTCGGCAGGGAAGACGTCTCGGCCGGGTTCGTGTCGCGCCAGGCCGCCGCGACGACGTGGTTCGATGCCTGCCTGGCCGACTGCTTCTGCCAGGTCGCCGGAATCTGGGCGAACTGCATGACGGACCAGGCTGCTACCGACATGTTTGTGTGCAATGGGATCGAGCAGTGGGTGCGGAATCCGGCTGCGTCGGCAGAGGGGGGACGGCCCAAGGCGTTCCGGGTGCTGGCTCGACACCACAGCGTGTCGGCTAAGGCGTTCCTGTCGGATGTATTTGCCTTCGATGCCGATACTGGCGCGCTGGTCGACGTTGTCACGGGAATCAGCTACGTCAGGGTTGCCCGGGCATCGATGAGCAAGATGCTGGTGCGCATGTCAGCTCCGTCGGCGGTGGTAGGTGGGCAAGGGGTAGGAACCGTGGCAGCAGCGGCAATGCCAACAGCAACAACAATAACATCAATAACAACAACAAATCCGGTATCAGCAGCAGTACCACCACCACCACCACCACCACCAACGCTGCCCAGCCACTCCCTCAAACCCGTCGCGTCCTCCAAACCTTCGGCCAAGCCGCCAGGTCCGCCCAACGTGGCTCCCAAAGTCAAGGCCATCCTGGCCGAGCTGACAGGCATCGAGCCGGACGAGATCCAGGCCGACAGCCAGCTGGCCAACCTGGGGGTCGACTCGCTTCTCGGCATGGAGATGGCCCACGAAATCGAGTCGGCATTCGGCATCTCCCTACCCGAGAGCGAGCTGCTGGAGATCACGGATGTGCCAGGTCTCGTAAGGTGCGTGCAGAATGCCGTGGCCCGCAAAGGCGGAGACAGTACTGCAGATGATCTCGCCGATGGAGAAAAGGAGGAGGAGCAAGACGAGGTAGACGACTCCTCCAGCAGCGACGCCGGAACCCCGAGCCAGTCCTGCAGCTCTGGCGCCCAGACAGGCTTTAGCACGCCGCTGCCGGTTTCCGAATCAGGGGCCGTCCGCAAGATCGACTCTCGTCCGACAGGCATCGGCTGCGGCAACAATAGCAGCGACGGCCTGCATCTCTCGGTCGACGCCGTCATGGACGCGTTCGACCAGACCAAGCGCATGACGGATGCCAGGATCGTCGAGTACGGCCAAGACCGGTACGCCGACGAGGCCAACCCGCTGCAGACGCGCCTCTGCGCCGCCCTCATCCTCGAAGCCTTCGAAGATCTGGGCTGTCCTCTCGGGCCCCCCCGAACCGCTGGCCAAGAGCCGCCGAAGCTGATCCGAGTCCCCCACGGCAGAGAGCACAGCCGCCTCGTTGACGCGCTCTATGCCATGCTGGAGAGGGACGAAGCCGGCCACCTCGTCGCCGTCGACGGCTGCTCCATCACCCGGACCAGCGAGCCGCTGCCAACTGAGCCAAGCACGGGGCTATTCCAGCAGCTACAGACCCGATTCCCAGACCAGGCTACCGCCAACGAGCTCATCCTATACGCCGGGTCTAGGCTGGCTGACGTGCTGCGCGGCCGCACAGACGGGATCAAGCTCATCTTCGGCTGCGCCGAGGGCCGGGCCACGGTGTCACGCTTCTACGCCGACTGGCCACTGCACCGGCTCCTGTACCGGCAGGCCGAGGACTTCCTGGGTCGGCTGGCCGAGCAGGTTCGCGGGGCATCGGGCACGCTGCGGATACTGGAGATGGGGGCCGGCACGGGCGGCACAACTCGGTGGCTGCTACCAGTGCTGGCGAGGGCGGGGGTGCCGGTCGAGTACACGTTTACCGACCTGGCGCCATCGCTTGTTGCAGCAGCGCGGAAGAGATTCACGGCAGAGTATCCCTTCATGAGGTTCCAGGCGCATGACATCGAAAAGGAGCCCCTGGAGGATCTGATTGGGACGCAGCATGTTGTGGTGGCAAGCAATGCCGTGCATGCGACGCATAACTTGCGCACGTCGCTAGCCAACATGCGCAAGGCGCTCCGGCCTGACGGGTTGCTACTACTAGTCGAGATGACGGGCCGGGTGTGGTGGATGGATCTTGTGTTTGGCCTGTTTGAGGGCTGGTGGTTCTTTGATGACAGCCGCTCCTACGTCATCTCGGACGAGCGAGCCTGGGAGGCAGATCTGCGTGCTGTAGGCTACGGCTGCGTCGCTTGGACCGACGGCGCCCGGCCCGAGAACAAGATGGAGAGGCTCATCGTGGCGACGGCATCCGACGACCCCCTCACCAAGTGCGCCGGCTTCTCCTCCTCTTCCTCATCCTCCCCCTTCCCTCCCCCCGCTTTGTCCCTCCCCTGCCTGTCCGCGCCCTCCCCGTCCTCCGTCGCCGCGAGCAATGACAAGAGTTTACCGGCTGCTGACTGCGACGCTCGACAGGCCGTCGTCGACAGATACGTCCGCGATCTGACCGACGGGTTCTCCGCATCCATGGACGACGCCATAGCTCGGCGGTCCAGAACCAAATCCAGGTTTCGCTTGTTCGGCCCTCAGGGCGCGTGCGTGCTCGTCACCGGCGCCACGGGCAGCTTGGGCTCTCATCTCGTAGCCGAGCTGGCTCTCCGCCCGGGCGTGCGCCGGGTTGTGTGCCTGAACCGAGCCCGGCGCGGCCGCCACGGCGACGAAGACCCGTGGGAGCGGCAGCGGCAGGCCTTCGCCACGAGGGCCATCGTCCTCCCTAACCACGCCGCTGCCAAGCTGACGGTGCTCGAGACCGACCTATCCAAGCCCCGTCTCGGCCTGGCCGGCGACCAATACGACGCCCTCGTCGGGGACGCCACCCACATCGTCCACAATGCCTGGCTCATGAACACAAAGTGGCCACTCGTCCGCTTTGAGCCGCAGCTGCGCATAATGCGCTGCATGATTGACCTGGCCCGTGACGTGGCCGCCTGCTGGCATCAGGACGGCGAGGGGACCGCAGCAGCCACGTTCCAGTTCGTGTCGTCCATCGCCGCCGTCGGGCACTGGCCCCTGCATACGGGCCGTCCCATCGTGCCCGAAGAACGCATGGCTCCCGACTCAGCTCTGCCCATCGGCTACGGCGTCGCCAAGCATATCTGCGAGCGCATGCTGGATGAGACGCTCCATCATCCGCGACACGCGGCCCAGTTCCGGGCCATGGCCGTGCGGCTGGGCCAGATCGCCGGTTCCTATCGCACCGGCTACTGGAATCCGGCCGAGCACTTGGCCTTCCTGGTGCGGTCTTCCCAGACACTCGGCGCTATGCCCGCCCTCGAGGGCCACCTCTCCTGGACTCCCATCGACGCCGTCGCCGCCACCCTCGCCGATCTGCTGCTCCGTCCTGGCCGCCCCCACGCGGTCTACCACATCGACAACCCTATCCGCCAGCCGTGGCCCGACATGGTCCGCCTGCTTGCCGACTCCCTCGGCATGCAATCCAGCTCTGACGCCGTCATCCCCTTCACCGACTGGCTCCGCCGCCTAAGGGATCACCCCGCCAGAGGCAAGGCTGGTGAGAACCCAGCCGCTCTGCTAGCTGACTTCTTCGACCGCGACTTTGTCCATATGTCGTGCGGTGCCCTCGTTCTCGGCACAGCCAAGGCCTGCAACCACTCGCCCACGCTCGCCAACCTAGGGGCGGTCACTGACGAGACAGTGAAGCTCTTTGTGAAGCGCTGGAGAGACACGGGATTTCTGGATTGATCAGTGGTTAATTAATAGATATGTGCGGGGCATAAGTGCTAGGATAGAATGGGTTCGCAGATAGACATTGCCATTTTAATTAGATGTCAGTCTTGCCCTGATGAAGTTGCCATAATCCCCGGGGTTGGTCATGAGAAAATGTTGCAGGTTAATCAAAGAAGTATAGTGTGTTTTGAACCATCCTCTTGCTTCCGGTTCTGGTGAGCCAAGTCCAACGACTGAAGTTCGCCGCGGATAACCATTGTGAACGTCTGTCATAGTCCATCTATGCCAGTTTTCTCGTAGGGACGAGAGGCTTCTCCTGCTCTCTTTGACAACATAACCATCGCCCCGTGGGACCTAGAAGAGAGATACAGCGTGTCTAAATTGCTTTTCCAACTATGTATCGTCAAGCTGGGCGAAATAGTGGGCTCCAACAAACATTAATACAGACAGCGAGGTATTAACAGAATAATCTGAACCGAGACACTTGAGGACCTCAGATTCGCAGAAGTTGAGAAGATTCTTACATCCATGCAATCTCTAGAAAGGGCATGCTCCCTGTCACCTCCAAGTCCTTGGAAAGGCCACTCGCAGCAGCCCTATGTATATTTACAATGATGTAGCGCGTACACGTCTTTTCTCGTTTTCTCTCCCCTGCTCATGTCTTCACATGGGATTAAATGGTTACCTTATCGCCTGCAGCTGCACCCACAGACCAAGCAATACACACATGAGACCCATGTTCCATCTCTCCGTACGTATCTAACAACTGACAGACAGCACGGCGCTCGCAACCCGGTCCTGCCCGACCAAAAAGGCACGGCAGCCCACAGAGAAAAATTGACGGCTGAAGCTGGCCTGACTGGGTAGGTACGAAGCTGGCGCCAATCAGCTCCTAGTTCCCGCTAAACCCCCCGTTGTCTAGAAAAACTCGTGACGCAAAAGGGAACTGGGCAAGCAATAGTGCGGTTTCCACAACCAAGCTGAGCCAATAGAGCCCCGCTCGAGTGCATAAGGGTGCAGACTTTATGAATCCATGAGCGGACTGGGCTAAACCATTACAGCCGTCTCCTCCCCCTCCTTGTTCTTAATCTTGTGCTGGCATAGCACTCCTCTCGTAACCATGGCGACATCGCCAGACTTCCTGGCGTCGGCTTCCGTTGTCAGATTTCTGGAGGAGAGCGACAACGAGAAACACAGGGACGTGGCGAAGAGGCTTGCTAGCAATACTACGGAAACATCGCCGGGGTCATTGAAGCCTGCGGGCCCGGCTAGGCTGGCAACAGCCGCCCAGGGCTATTTTGCCCCGTTCGATGTCGCCATGCCGGAGCTGATCGACACGTTTGCAGCACCCCACCTGGTGGTGCAGGAGCTGGCGGACCAGCTGTACAACATCAAGCCCGGCGACACTGCTACTATCGGACTGCGCGATCGGCTGTTGCGCGGCGTCGATGAGGTGCTGGCACGTCAGCGGGCTGCCGAGGCGCTGGGGCTAATGCCCGCCGACTTCGCCGCCATAACGGGCGAGACCCTGTTCCCGGCCTGGCTGGCCGAGCTGATGGCGGACCCCGCGTGCGGCGGCGGGTTCGCAGTCGAGAGCCAGTGCCCATGGGACGCGGCGTCGCTGTGGGGGTACACGGTCGCCGACGCCGCCGACGCCAAGCTGGCGACGCCCACGGCGGTCATGCTGGATCTAAACCACAGGCTGGGGCTCACTCGAATAAAGACCGAGCTTATGCGACGATCGGGCTTCCAACTACAAGACATACTGGACCTGGCCAAGTCGCAGTGCTTCGGACAGCACCTTGTTATCACCAACGAGACGGGCGCCGGGGGCTTTGCGGGCGGCGGACTGGAGGGGCTGAGACTGCTGGGGCGCGCAACACAGTCGCCCTTTCCGCCCCTGGATGAAGAACTATGCTTTGCGCTGCAGGCCTTCCTGCGCCTGCAGGTTAAGCTTGGGTGGTCGACCAAGAAGCTGGACGCGGCCATCGTCTGTCTACGCGATCACGAGCTCGACATGTCACCGGGCACGACCCGGACGGGGACCCTCGCGGCGCAGAGCGTGTGCCGCTCGCGTCTGCTTGTCATCTCCCCCTTCGTGGTGCAGGGCCTGGCGGCACTGCGCCAGCTGAGCAAACTCTGCGGCATTGAGGAACCCCGCCTGCTGCCGCTATGGGGGCCGATCGACAGCCACGGCGAGCAGTCGCTGCTGCATCGCGAGTTCCTGCGTCCGGCGCTCCGCAACATCGACCCCATCTTTGCGGTGCCCCCCGACGGGCAGTACCTGACCGAAGATGGGCGGAAGTCCAAAGTGAACATGCACTACGTGGGCCTCAGCGCGAGCCTCAACTGGCCCGTCGAATTCCTCGAGGACCTGCTTAAGGCCACCGGACTCACCAACGCCGACCTGACGGTCGCGACGCTCTCCACGCTATATCGACGCGTGCTGTTATGTCGCATGCTCAACGTTGCGCCAAGCCAGTGCGTCCGCTTCTGGCACTTGTTTTTCATCACCCAGGACGGCGACCCGCTGGCGGACCCAGAAGCCACGCTCGCGGCCGTGCAGCAGTGGATGCTTCTGCTAGACGCTGGCTGGACCCTAGATTCCCTCTCGGCGGCGCAGCTGGGGCCCCAGGCTAGAGCCACGGCGCCTAGCGGAGTGGGACTGCAGACGACGGCGACAAACCTTAACAGCAGCAAAGAGATTTGAAAGTCGCTGTCTATTGTAGCTAAGTCATTTTAGATGCTAGTCCTGCTCTAATGAAGTTGGCCAGGCACAAAGACCTATATTGCATCTAACCGCTCCTCTATCTCGCCCCAAGGTCCCAAAGCCTTTTAAACTCACTATCTTGCTTCAGGAGAGCGCGAGGACTATCCCATTCCAGGAGCCGACCACCGCCTATGACAGCAACACGATCGAAGTTGACGACGGCACCGAGGCGATGCGCAACGGCAATGACGGTGCAGCTGGCAAATTGCTCGCGCATGACATCCCTGATGAGCCACTCGGACCGCTCGTCGACGTTGCTGCTCGCCTCGTCGATTAGGATGATCCGCTTGCCCGCCAACATGGCCCGGGCGATGCATAGGAGCTGGCGCTGGCCCTGCGAGAGCCGGTCGGCGTCTAGCGGGCTGTCTAGGCCGCCCAAGCGATCTACCACATCGTCCATCTTGAGCCGCCGCAGAACTTGGAGGATCTTATCGTCGTCGGTTTGCTGCTGCCGATGCTGCTGCCGGTGAAGGAGAACAAGGTTGTCGCGGAGGCTCGTATGCTTCAGGAAGAAAGGGTGCTGCGGCACAACGGCCACTGCAGCGCGCACAGCCTGCCGTGGCAGCGTCGTGATGTCGACGCCGTCGATGGTGATGCGCGAGCCGGGGCCGACTTCAAGGAGGCGCAGAATGCAGCCCAGGAGCGAGCTCTTGCCGCTCCCACTGCGGCCACAGATGCCGACCTTGGCACCGGCGGGGATATCGAGGCTCACGCCGCGCAGGACGGGCTCGCCGCCGCCGCCCGCATCGTACGAGGCCACCAGATTCTCGATGGTGACGCGGCCGTGCGCCGGCCAGTTCTCGGGCACGGTACCCATCTGGGCAGGTCGGTTCTCCGACTCGGTGTCGGTGCAGAATGTCTTGATGCGCGCGACGGCGCCAAACGACGTCTCGAGCTGCGTCCAGTCCTGGATGACGTGGGCTAGCGACTGGCTGAACGACATGACCTGCACGAAGGCCAGGGCCACGTACTGCGCCGACAGCTGCGCCCGCAGCTCCACAACCAGGACCATCATGACGGTCACGAGGACGGCGGTCACCAGGTCGAGCACGAGGCCCAGCCAGCGCTGGATGCAGAAGAGCAGGTAAAAGGGTCGTTGCGAGGCGTCGAGAAGGTCCAGGTACCGCTCGACGAAGCGCGGCCCCCACGCGAACGCCCGCACCGTGGACAGGCCCTGGAGGAGGTCGAGAAACTGCGTGAACAGGGGAGATTTGGCTTCGAGTTCAAACAGTCGGATCTGCCGCGACGTCCGCACGTAGAACTTTTGCAGCACTGTTGGCCCATAGTCATAGTAGCTTGGGGGTCAGTGCCATGATTTTTTGTGTCACATCAAGGGGCTTGGGGAGGCGGGCTGTCAAAACTCACACCAGCAGAAAGCGACGAAGGGCACAAGTGTGGCTGCAAAATACCCAGAAAAGACGCACATCAGGATGACCGACATCATGATGAGGGCAAAATTGACGCAGAAATCCACAAGGGCGAAGGGCAGCTCGGTGTCGACGACCGACATGTCCTGGCTGAAGCGATTCGTGGTGACTCCGACGTCGGTGCGCGAGAAGAAGGCAACAGGGGCATTCATGACGGAATGTAGAAGCCGAGCGTGGAGAACCTCGGAGCTCAAAGGCACCATGACGACCAGGTAGAAATAGGCGGCCCCGGTGATGCCCAACACGGCGAGACCGGTGAGCATTCCGAAGAGCCCGAGGTAGTAGTCATTGGTGGCTTGGCCGGATTCCTCCGCAGTGTCCGTCCAGAAGCTGAGTACGAGTGCCGTCATCCGATAACCTCCCGCGTACAGAATGGTAAGGGCAGCGAACAGTACGGTGTACCATACAGGGACGGAGCCAAAGTAATATGCATATGTGGCAAACTCGCCGAGGACTCGACCGGGCGATGCAGAGTCATCGCTGTTCTGGTCAGCATCGTTTTCGGACCGGCCCTTGGGAACAGTCTCGTGGCGATGCTGCACCGATGCTTTATTAGCTGCGTCCCGCGCGTCAATCGCGCCGCAGTTCTGCTCGACTGCCAGCCCATGCAGATAATCTGTATCGGATTGAAGTTGGGCGAATGAGCCTTGGTGCACGATATGGCCGCTCACATCCAGAGCGACCACATGATCGGCATAGGCGAGTCTATGGATGGCATTCGTGACACAGACCACGGTTATGCTCATCTGCCGGAAGAGACCCGTCTCGGCAAAAAGATTCTGGAAGACGTGCTCCTCGGTCGCCGCATCCTGCCCTGCAAAGACATCGTCCAACAAGACTGTCTTTTCCCTGGAGTAGACGGCTCGGGCCAAGGCGAGCCGCTGCTTTTGGCCGCCGCTCAACGAAAAACCCGCGCTGCCCGCCCTTGTCGCATCTCCGTCGGGAAGCTCGCCAATATCTTGCTCCAGACCGCACGCGTAGACAACTTTGCCGTACCATTCCGCGTCGTAGCTGGCACTGCCTAGGATATTCTGGCGTATTGTCAGGTTCTGGATCCAGGGCTCCTGACCGACAAACGCAATGTTGCCGGGATCGGCATGAACGGAACCCGCTCGGAGCGGGACTTCTCCCAGAATCGCTCGCATGAGGGTGCTCTTGCCCGAGCCCACGGGTCCGACGACGAAGGTGAAGCAAGACCTGCGGATATTGACGGTGATGTCGTTGAGCATGTCCGGCTTTCCGGGAACCCAGCCAAAATTGGCTCCTGATATCGCCACAAGCGTGTCTCCTTTCTCATGCTCGCTCAGGGGCAGTCTGTAATCGGCATAGCTTTCTGACAACAAGTAGTCTTGAGTGCGAGAAAAGCACGCAAGGGCGGCACTAACGAATGGGATGGTACAAAACACGACAACCATAGGGTCCGCCAAGAGGTATATCAGCGACAGCGAGGTGTAAGCAGACTCCGTGTTCAAGGGCTGACCAGTGCTCTTGGAAACAATCACAAAGGTTGTAAAGGTCGCCAAAGGGGCGATGGTCGCCGTGTTCATTGCTGTCCCGGCCAAAGGAGTCAGCAGCAGCGGCATGACGACACGATGAAAACGCGGCATAGCAAGGGGTCTATAACTCAGGTACCTACCAATGAAAGTCTGCATGGTCAACAGTCTGCGATACTGCTTGGACAAGTCCAGCTCTGTTACGCGGAGGTTCTGGATCATGTTCGCGACAATATCTGACAAGCCAAGCATTTTGACTTCCTGCAGTGAACCGATTAGTGATGTAGCCTGTCATCAAAATCGGTATCATCGGGCGTTCCCGCTGGGTCCTAACCTTCATAGATGCGAGGACGGAAGCTGTTACATGGACCCGCGTTTGGATGCCCCTCATCCATCTTTTCTTGGCCATGCCAATGAACTGGGCAAGCCGCAACATGCCAGTAGTGGCAACGATTGCTACGACGACCGGGGCCAGAGCGGCAAGGCCAAGCTGTCTGTACAGGAGAAATATGGCGACTGCAGACTCGATTGGCGAGGCCCAAAGCTCGTGCAAGGTTGCGGCGCTTTGACAGATACTCTCCGTGTCCGTGGACATGAGCGATACGGCCACGGACTCGTCGAGAGCCGTGCTGCTGAGATCCAACGTCTTGGTATAGATCAAACCGCAGAGACTGCCGCGAATCGAAGTGACAAATCGATATGTCATCTGGTAATAAAAGCCGCTCGAGATTGCTTGCCCAAGGAAGACCAGCAGCCATGCGCCCGTCAGTCCCCATCCAATTGCATCCGATTGCGACAGATCGGCCGTCCAGGAAGTCGTCCTGGTGATGAGAAAGGGAAGCGTGTACTTGAAAGCAGCCAATGCAAGCCGGGGTGCCACGCCAGCCAGAAAGATATACTTGGTGGCCCACAACGTGGAGAAGGCCAAGGCATAGCGGTTGGTCTGTTTTGATGAACCAAAAGAGTTTCGTGATTTGGGGAGAAGTGTTCGTGCCGCTAGGCTGTCATGAATGGGGAGCAGATCATGATCGGTGAGCGAGCGAGTGAACCCGGTTCGCATCAATGAATTCAGCCACCAGAAGACACTCCGGGCCAGTATGCCACTGGTTGCCTCTGGGGAGAGATACTGGTACTGGGACAGGAGTATGGGTCTCTTTTCCCAAGCTTCCGAAGTCAAGACAAAGAGTTTGATCGCGACAGTTGAGGTGAAGAGGCCCGAGATGGTGGGGTCATGGTTGGCAAGCCACAGGGTTCTGGCGACGACGCAGTCAAAGAGCAAAGTAAAGAGTAAATAAACGTTGATGATGGTCGATGGTCGCACTGAGCGCGCGTGCTCGGCGTGGGACAGGAACAAGAGCAAAAATCCATCGACGAAGGCGAGCACGGCAGCCGACGTCCGCAACTGAGAGGAAGGCCACTTCTCTGCATTCAGGGCCCAGTACAGCAAGACTACAAGTTGTAGAGCCGTGTAGACGCCGATCAATCCCTGCAGTTACGGAACCAGTCAGTAGTTGTTTTTTCTTGCCGACACGATGGACACAGAAAAAATTCTTGGCTTCAGGGGCGGAGGTTATCACGTGCCACTTTCACGATTGGCCGGTGGCTTTTGGCAACCTTGCGAGGCTGTCTCGCGAGCCAGAAGAGACGCTGTAGGGCCACAACTAGAAAGAGGGCTGAAGGAACGATGCAGAGAACGGTGTCCTCGAAGGCAGGCGTGAAGTCAAAAGACCCCGTGCCAGCAACGACAGCAAACCGAGCTTTGGGCGGCATTTCGTTCCTCACAGGAGTCAGGAGAACAACTTGGCTATCCCCTTGGAGCCTTAGCAAAACACCTTAGAGCTTAGATAGAGGGGAGGGGAAGGTGGTTATAGTTATGCCACAGGAAATGCAAGGCTGGGTTGCGCGATGCGACGGAATCTGATGCAATATTATCAAGAATGTCTCCGCGGGCAGGTGGTCTGTGCGTTACAGGTGGTCCTAGGCTAGTAATTCATTGCTAATTAGGTGCAAAGGGATTGGCAGGTAGTAAAGTCGCCCAACCATACCATCCATCACTTATTCAACACAA